ATGGGCTGTTGCTTCCAGCAAGCTCCCAGGAGTAATCACACACAAGCTCCGCAGCTTCTCCAAGGGCAAGCATCCTGACTGGCATGTCCCACCAACAGCAGGTAGCAATGAACTTTCAGCAGTCTCTGAAAGTGCCCTGAAGCAGATATGTCATGCAGGCTCTTTCTTGCCGTAGCAAATAACTACTTTATCCAGCCAGATACACTCTCTGTATGGATATATAACCTACACATGTACCTATTGAGGTCCTCAGGTACATCCAAGAAGCAATGAAGCCAGGAGCAAGTGGGAAGAGAAGAAGAACTTTTATCTATTTTTGTGACAGTTAAATGGGGGTATCACATGGAAAACTTAGTTAGGTAGACTAATAAATGACTGAGTAATCTTTTCTTCCTGATACCTTAAAATAGTATCTTTCCTGCAGATCGGTTTCCACATGGGTAGACATTTAATTCAGACTAATCATTCTAGTTTAAAACTGGACTGTTTGCATGGTAAGGCTCCAGCTCCTTGCATTTAGGCTCCCTCTGAATTGCATTCACGTTGTCAAGTAGATCTGAAACAGCAAGAAGAGTCCGGGTACTGTCCACGCCTCACTGTGAACCTGCGGCTGTTCCTACAACATCACAGCTTTGATTAGAAAGAAAGAAAAATCCACACTGTTACAGCCCCAAAGTAAATGTATACCATGAGTCAGGACAGAAACTGTCCAACAGCATTGGTTACTCTAAAGGTTAAAGGAGCATTATGCTGCTTGTTTACTTCTGTGTGCACTTTATCACTTAGAGAAACATGCCCTTTTTAGCACTTCATGAGTTTCTGTTGCTCTGTTGGTTTTAGTCAACCATCATGCCATACTGGTACCAGGCATTTATTGCCACCAGCACATGTGGATTTCATGCCTTTGATGCCCTTCTGTACTCTTACTTCTTGCACTTGTTGTCTTAGCTGAGGTTAAGAGTCCCTCCGAGGTCAGGTATGCCAGCTCAAGACTTAAGCACATCAGATAACTGCCTAAATCTTAAGCAGACTGAGTGGAGTGGGAAAGAGCAAACTGACTCTTTTTTGTAAGCCAGGGAAGACAGGGAATTACCTGTTCCAACACAAACAATGTATTTCTTTTTCTTACTTGCTCAGCCTTTTCTTTTCTGCTGTTGCTTTTAATAAAGAGGTGCCGTGCAAGGAGTGGTAATGTCTCACACACAAACTCCTGCACCTTTTTTCCCCCCAGCCGTAGAACTAATTGTGCTGCTACAACAAAATACAATTTTGCTTATTCGCCTGAGAAAAACTGTGACTGCACAAGAGCTATAATATCATGCCTTTCTACCGCGCTAATGCATCCTGACTGAGGCCTTTTATCATACTCATAATAGGAATAAAAAAGAATAGTTGTATCACATAAGGGGAAAGCGCCTCATGTAATGGTGATGTTTTTCAGCTGTTAACATAAGCATCCAGGGTGAATGGTATGGTGTGTTTGTACAGACAAGGAGAAGTCTCGATACTGCAAAAACCTTCTGGGAGCTAATGTACTATAAGAATTTACTACTATTGCTATGAATAAGATTTTGCCTGCTCAGAGTCAGAGTGAGTGCTATCTTGTTCAAGACTGTGTTAAGCTCCTTGGATATTTATTCCACTCAGGTAATGTCTCAATATCAAAATTTCCAGAGACCTGCCTTATTATGGTAAATTGATTGCACTTGTGTGACAAATTTTTTGTGTCCATTTCTTTTCTCTCTATAAGAAGACTCAAGCAACAACTTAGTTATTAAAATAAATGTGGAATTATTATGGGAAAACACTTGCTTATTTGATCCGTTTATGCTAGGTCATGGTAAGGTCTGCATTGCTGTAGGATTTGAACATCTCATAATCTTGAAATTATTTATTCTCCCCACAAACCTTTGAAATGCATTGATATCCCACACATTTTACAGATAAGGAAAAGGCAGGCTGAAGTACTTAGAATTAAAAAAAAAAAATCAGATACCATTAAATCTTTGAAAATCAGAAAGTAGTGTTGCTCAAGATAAAGATTAATGAGTCTCACTTAATAAGACTGATATTAACATGTCACATCTAACATTTTCGTGAAGAGTTTACTACGATAAAGAAGTAATTTTGAAAAGCATTAAGGACATTAATGAGTTACTTTGAAGTGTTTCAGAATTATTGGAGTTTGAATAAATCTCAGCAAAATATCATGGAAACTTCTAGTACACAGTAGTTCGTTTTTAATATTTTTTAAAAACAAAATTGATGCTAATGTGAAAATTTTTCTCTAAAAGTGTAGTGT